GAAAAAGTGCTACAAGCTACTCGTAACTAATAGTCTTTTACACGTTGTAGACGTCAATAGCTGTAGGCAGGAAGGATCTAGACGTCTGTCTTGCAGTGCATCTGGAAAAGGATATTCAGGGTCTATATTGTTCTTAATTTAGCAAAGAACTAATCTTTGTGAAATCAGCTCCAGATGTTCTAGAAGAGATTCTTTCTTATCAGCTTGTAGGGCTTTTTAAAATAATCTGCTATGATGCTGTCACCCCAGCAGTTGATGGCAGAAGAAATCACACTCTTCACAACAGACAGTGGAGTATCTTGGAGTATCTTTTTACAAACACTGAAGGACCTAAGGTTCCTCAAAGGGTACAGTCCTCTCTGGCCCCTCATTTAGACAGCTTCAACAGTTGTATCTCCAGTCGAATCAGGTGAACACTCAGGTATCTGTACTCTTTCACCACCTCTACTTCTTCTCCAGTGATGGGGTTTGGCTTTTTTCTGTTTCTTCTGAAATCTGCAGCCATCTCCCTTGTTTTGTTCCTCTTCAGGATAAGATTATTGTTTCAAAACCATCCCCATCTGATGCACCCCAGGACTGCAACATCATCTTAGAATTTTTGCAAATGACATGACTTTGTCCTACACTGGAATTTGAAATAAAAAGACTCTACTTTTAAAGTAAATGCTCATAGACAAAAAACATGCATTGGCTTTTCTTACTTCCTGCAGCAGTTATTTGTGCTGCAGTGCTCACACTAGCTGGTGCATACCCATGAATAGGTAAAGATTTGTTTTTTGTTTTTTCCTACCCTAATAAAGTGAAGCAGCTTAAAGAAATAAAAAAGATGCATGAATCACTTATTTAAATTAGAAAGCAGAATTTGAATATCCATGTTTCTAGGACTTTGATAAGCACAAATTATTCGTAAGCTAGAAATTATAAATTATATTCCTTAATAATGTAAAAACAGCATATAGTTAAAATGCTATTATAATGATCTGTTTCATAAAACTTGCCATATGTTCCTGAGGCATCATATGAAGCCACAGAGGGTCGTTTTCAAATTAGTAAAAGCCAACTTGCGAAAACTGTAGCTACAGCGGTTAGTTTGAAAACAATTAAACACAGAAATGTGTCTTACTAGCTTAAAGTGTCTTTACTTACAGCCATACATCCCTCTTTGATTAAATCCCATTAAAAGATATTTGTTGCTGTACAGATATATATTCTGTTTTAGTCACATTAAGATGTTTGGGCTCTCATAACATCTTAGTGTGATATCAGACAAGAATTGCTTGAATAATTGAATAATGCCACCTAATCTAAACAGGACTTAATGGACAAAACCTAAGAGAAAAATAGAGAAATAATCTTTAAATAAAATCAGCAGAGGTAAAAGCTTGTCAAAGCATCACAAAGGAGGAGCCACAATTAATTAGTGATGTCTGGGCTTCAGGCTAGACATCACTAATCTGCATATAATTCTAAACAAAGCCTTAAAAAAATAAATATATTATTTCTGCTTTTGAAAGTGTGTATAATTACATTTATTTTGCTGATAAACAGGCCCTACGTATTAGATTTATAATTTGTCAACCGTCACTTTGTTTTGGTTGTGAATAACAACAGCCCAAATTGGATTAAAGCAGACATTCATTATGGGAGACTAATATGAATAGAGTGTTTTGGCAAACAGACCAACACAAATTGTGTCCGTCAATTCTAATTCAGAACATCTTTTGAATGAAAATGCATCTAGTCTGACTTAACTTGCATTGATTATTATCATCATTTGGTTAACCATGTTTTTGTCTGCTTGGTCTCCGAGCTGAACTCTGCTCGTACGACTGGGTCAAACATTTTAGCAATCCTCTGCACAATTTTCTTCTTTATATATGAGCCATAATGCAACCAGCCTCTGAAGCGGCATGCAATCCACACATCTCCTCTGCATTTGGATGACATTTTTTTCTAAATGCTAAATCAAGTACTTTTTTGTTCCCAAAGAGAACTTAGATGTTATAAATTTTATTGGCATTTCTTCACCAAGTTGTAGACGTCAATAGCTGTAGGCAGGAAGGATCTCCTGTAACGGTCTGCCTTACAGCAGCTCTGGATATCCTTCTGAGTGGAAACATTGTTGTATGACAGATGTCTGATGTAGGTTTTTCCATAATATTGCTAACATAAAGATATTCAGCAACCCTCTGCAGCAGTAAAGTCAGCTCTTTCCCTTCTTGCAGATGGCTCCACAGCTGTATCTCCATGCAGACCAGTCTGTTGTCCAGGTGAACTCTGAGGTATTAATACTCCACCACCTCCATTTCTCTCCTATTATGGTTATAATGTTTGGCTTGTTTCTGTTTCCCCAGAAAATCCTTTTCTTTCTTTCTGTACTCAGCTTCTTGATCATCTCTAATACACATCACTTGAAGCTGAGTCCAACACTACTCCAGAATAAAATAGTTTGTCCTCTTTATAGTCAGAGAAAACTACAAAGTTTTACTTCTTTTTTTTTATATTTCAAATAAACCTACTATGATTACTACAATTAGTAATAATTTCTTAAGTATGGTTTGGGATACGGCCACATCTCCAACCCACCTCTCATTATCCCCATACATTCTTTACCTTCCTATAAATCATTCTCAACCCACTCATTCATTGTTTCATCCCTGATTAAGAGCCTTTTCATACCACTCTTCGCCATTAATCCCATCTTTGATTATTTTAGTTCTCCTCCTCTCCTCTTCCAAACCATTATGCATACATCCTTTTTCCATATTTATGACCCTTTCCCTCATTCTCTTCCTCCAACTTTTATCCTCCTTCTCATTATCTACAATTTCTTCTTAAAATTCATCCTCCTCATCTCTCTGTCCCTGATCTTCCTGACCATTTTTTTATTGGCTTGTCTCATTATTCTCCTTCTTATCTCTATTTATGATCCATTCTTAAACTCATCCTGCTTCTCTGTCTCAATAAAACCTTTTTATCTCAGGTTGTGATTTTAGATCTAGTAAATGCCTGTCTTGGTAGCCTCTGAATGATCTTTAACCCTAAAAGCTTTTAAGTTTCATCCTATTGTTGCTTTTGAATATAAATCTGCATATTAGCACCAAATCCCACAGCATAAGGGCATCCATACTGTGCTTCTGTGCACATGGTGTGCTTTTTTTTTCTCACCACAGAGCTTTATTTTACAACTATAAATGAAAAAGAGCTGGTTTGTATCTGGAGGTTTTGCAAACTTGTCTCATGCATATTGTTTTCAGTTCTACTATTACCCTGTTTCCTATTGTGCAGCATATATATCATGTTCAAGTGCCAGCTTCAAACAGTACAAGATCAGCCAGAGACTATGCAAATGTTTGTTTAGCTGTTTGCAAAAAAAAGAACTTGCCTCCTTTACAGCAGTGCCACATGTTTGGTGTAAAACTGCAGTTTTATGACTGTAAAAATCTTTTATATTACCAACCACTGAGATGGAAACCATAAAGATTTTTTTCCCCCCGACATATTACTGTGTCATTTTTAATAGTGGAGCAGTTCATCTTCTCCATTTATTTTGGGGATATCTTTTTTAATTTTTATTGCGTTTTTTCTTTTTTTTTTTTTTGTCTTCTTCTTCCACTCTTTGGGCTGCTCTCCTGAGAGGTCGCCACAGCAGGTCACCTGCCTCCATCTCCACTGCCAGTGTTTAATTGCAATGTACCTTAAGATGACATGTTTTCTGAATTGGCACTATATAAATAAACTTCAATTAAATTATAAACTATAATTTAATTATAAACTGATTTACTTTAAAACAAAAAAGCTGCTCTCTTGTCGTGACATTTCCAACAGAAATTTTATGTGTTTTGAAACAGCCCAACAATCCTCCATTGATCCCATGATACTGTAATAAAGAATCAATAAATCTAATAGGAGAAGATCAATGCATGAATTGATGGTAATGTAGCTACAATGTAAGTGGTGCAACTATGATAATAATAATTCATAATAATAGTAAATCATGTAATCAGAATATCTGAAATTGACTTTAAAAACATGCAAACATTAGACAGTTTCGTGCGTGGTAAAACTGGAAAAACCCTCGTTGAATATTTATATCCTGGTTATTTCTCAGTAATCTTGGCAGAAATAGTGCCATGAGCAACATACAAACTAATCTGGTGACGCTCCGGAAAAAATGGCATGCACACATGAAAGCCTGGTGTAAAACGACCGCAGGGCAGGGAGCATAATCCATGATAATAGGAGACTTGTTTTGGGTTTAGTCTCTTAGAAACGCGTTTCAAACTATCACTTCATTAAAGCGTTTATGTATTAGGCTGTAAATTAAGAATCATCCATTGACCTTTCTGGTCATTAAATAACACACCAAGACTTTTTTAATGCTGCTGACTTTTATCAAAGCGCATCCGAGTTACTCCGACTCTCAGTTTAGGAGGAGTTTGCAACTCCTGTTGCTCTGTGAGACTTTTACCAAAAACGCCTTGCCCACGAAGAGATACGGCCGATCCACATTTCCAGGGGATCCGCTGGTGATTCTCTGTCGTGCAAAGTCCAGTCTCGTGGCCAAGTGAACTCTTTCTGGGAAATGAGCCAAACCGGTCGACAGTTATCCTGCAGCTCAGTTTGGCCCCGGGTTAAGAAAATAAAGGCAAGCGACGCAGGGAACGGTGTCAGCATGGCGCAAAGAAGTGGAGAAAGCTGCGCAGGAAGCGGCAGGTTTGAGGAATCCGATAATAACGCCAGGAGCTGCGGCTCTATGTGCGTTAATCCGCCCGCCCGCGACATGGAGACGCGCTGCTGTCAGACAGCTGCTGCTCCTCAGGAGGAGTTGTTGAACGCTGACAGCCGCTCCTTTTCTGCGTGCGCCACAATCTCAGAGACAGCCAGAGAGCTGTGCAGAGCTGTGTCCGTGTCTTTGGGTCTCGCCATGGAGTCCAGTGACATGAGCGACGTGGACGCCGCTCTCCCCCCATGTGCGCCAAATGACCAAATCAGCGGAGAGTATTTCTTCGGGGTGGACGCCGCGGCTCTGAGCTGCCCCAAAGTCCAGAGCCAGATCACTTACAGGTGTCCCGACCGGGATGAGCGACCGCTTCACGGCCACAAACCAGCCGCAAAGATGTTTAAAAGTTCAGAGACGCCTGCGCATTTTCCTCACCTCGCCGGCCGGACGCATGCGAACGCGCAAAACTTCACACCGTGCGAAGCTGATGCTACGGATCACCTGACGGCCAGCCGCACCGTCCCCTGCCCTTACGCCCAAGACCACTTAGCGCAGTACAGCCACGAGCGGCACGGCAGGTCCGCTTACAACCCGCAGGAAGGAGCGCAGGACTTCGGGGAGGCTGCGGAGAGCGAGCCCGGCGGATATCACCCGGAGCAGTACAGCGTTAAAATCAAGTCAGAGGGAAATGAAGGCTGGGGGTCGTTCTGGGGCGGCGGGTACACCTTTAACAAGAGGTACAACACGCAGCTGTGGGGGTCCCGGCAGTGCATGAACGCACACGAGTCTGGAGCGAACGCGGCGTTCATCTGCAGCCCGTACGAGGCGAGCGTGGTGCGTCCGGAGCAGTGGTACCCCGGCGGCATGCTGAAGACCCCCTATCCCAACACCGGGGAAATGAAGAGTCAAGTCGGTGAATGGCTGGATGTAGTCTACAACGACACCAGGTATTATTATCATTATTAATAATAATATTTTTATTATTTTTACTTCTTCTGATCTTATTAAAAATACTAGTTCTTTTTTAATTTAAGATTTCTGCTCACTCTAAGTCATATAGATCTATTAAAAAAAATAAATTAACTATATATTTGAGCTTGCTGAGTAGGTGATCCATCAAATCACCCAAAAATGCGTTCTATTTAATACCACGCGATCTGAGCAGCTGTTTTGGATTGTCAGGATGTAGGAATTAGTGAAATGACAGCTTTGACAAACTGTTCGAATTATATGCTAAAAAAAAAAAAAGAAAAGAAAGAAGCAAAAACATGATCCAGAGCTTTAGAGTTAACTGAAATAGAAAAAAAGTATCCTATTCACAATGTCAAAATAATTTGAGCACCTTTGGTGGTCTGTCCTATTGTGAACATTCTCTAGGATGATTAAAATAATGGTTTTAGTAAAAGATAATAAAAAAAAAATTAAATCTGAGTCCACAAGTAAAAAAAGCCAGTTGATTTATTCCTAATTGAATGGATCTTATCTATCATATGTCTCATTTAAAACCATGTAGCTTAACCAAGGCTACATGGTTAGGCCACTTAATGTCTGTGACTGACATTAAATGGCCACAAAAGAAAAAAACCTTAGAAAGCATCAAACCTATAATGAGACAAAAACATGTGTTTCATCTTAACTTGCATCCTGTTTATTCCTTGCAGACAGCTGTTTTTAGTGTTGCAGTTACATTCCAACTACACGTGTGTCTTCCCATTAGAAAACCAGACCATTCTTAATTTCTGTAAGGTTTTTACAGCTTTAACTCTGTTCACACAAATGAATTAGAAAACAATGAACAGATAGATGCTTAAGCAAAAAAAAAAAAAAAAAAAAAATCAGATATATATATATGAGTCACATAAATATGTCCTTGAATAAAGATTTGTTAACATCATAAAAATCAGTCAGCATGGGATGAATTCTTTTTGCAAAAGAAAAAAAGGGAAAAGGGGTTTTATTGCCTAGGCTGCTTTACCATTAGAGATCAAACAAAAAGATGACGGTTAAGTCTCGTAACTCTGCTGCTCAGGTGATAATCATTATTATCCAGCGATCAGATCCTTCAGCAGCCCACTCAAACAATATTCGCTAAAGCCGCAGAACACATTCAGCGCAATATATTCAGCAAAAAAAAGTATTTCATTGTATTAAGAGGCTGTGTTCTTTTAAAAGTCAACCAACCAAAGACGAGGAAACAGTAAAAGGTTACATGCCTTAGATGAATTCTGATGATCTAGCAGTTTAAACATCCCAAATCCAGTAATTTGCCTGAATGTTTAGCATTATTAATGAGGACTGGGCCATAAATGCATTCAAATACAAAGATCCAGAACAATTTTGAGGTTGTTTCTAATTGTCTTCCCTTTTTTTTTTCTTATTCATTACAATTTTGAGGTTGTTTCTAATTGTCTTCCCTTTTTTTTTCTTGTAGGGCAATATTTTTATTTATTTATTGAGAAGATTTTAGGGGGAAAATCTATCACTAATATGTTACATGTTTAGTTTTAAATGCATTCATTATTTTAACTCAAAGTTGCATCCCGGGTGTCCTCCTGTGATGTATTCTGGTTTATAACTCTGAATGAACCAGATGTGGGTATGGGGACCGACTCTAGAGTCGTATATTACACAGCCGAGGGCTTTTCTCCAACCGTTCGAGTTCACTAAAGGTAATGACTCAGAGTTTGAACTCTGAGACTTTGGTTTTTCTTAGAAACTCTGCATGAAGGTTAATCATGTTTTTTTGATTTGCCTTTTATTTGAATGTTTTGACTGCAGAGGGCGACAAGAAACATTTAACAGATCTCTCTCAGTGTGGTGTTTTTTTATTTGTTTGTTTTTCACTTTATTTTTTTTAACATTGTCTTGTTTAGACTAGGAGGTCATCTGAGTTCACCAGACGTTGCTATGGTTTAGCGGTCTGATCCAAAAATCTGTTTACTGCAATACTGCTATTTCATGTGGTTAAACATTCAAATCAACACTAACATTTTCGTCAAACTCACTTAGCTATTCATTAACAAGTGCAGCAATGATCTGCTGTTCATCTGTATAAAAGCTACCCTCCTATGTATCTTTTCTTTTAAAAAAAAAAAATTTGCAAAAATTCCCACATCACATAATTCAAAGCAAGCACTAAGTTTTGATTTGAAAGAAAAATCATCTGCAGCAGGATAAATTGCATTACACAGCACCATTTGTTGTTGAAAACATGAGTATTTAGTGCAGAAGAAGCATGTTTCACAAATTTTCTGGAAATTTAAACTGTTTGATCCATTTTATGGAATTAAAGAAACAATTCATCTAGAGGTGAAGCTTAATAGAGCGTGTGGGCGCCAGGCTTGTAAGTTGGAAGAAGAGTAAATATAAAGACATGACTGCTTGTACAAGGCATGGGATATCTTTATGTTAATAGATATCTGGTATTTCCACTGGGTGGGAACAGATGCTTTCCAAGCTGTAATAAAAAGAAAAGTAAGAGTCGGACACCTGGAAATGAGCTGCGTAAATGTTTTACAAGTAGTCGAGATAGTTTTATCTCATGTTGTTGCACGGAACAATGCTACAAATGTTTTTTATTGTAATAGGAAATGCTAAAGATTGCAGGTAATATTTTCAGCAAATGCATGTTTTTAAAATATTTGATTTAATTCTGCATTCAGCTTTTACTTGGAAGTGGAAATACTCAAGTTACATCCTGAAAGCCCTGAATTTCAAGTGGGAGAGTTGTAACTTTTTAACTAACCCCAAGATCCACTCTATCTCCAAACAACAGCTGCAATAATAAACAGTTTATTAACGCTACAAGCAAATTAACACTCTTACATACGTATTTTTGTGCTCCGTCTGTTAATGAGCATGTTTAAATAAAGATCATGCCTAGTAATGGAACATCACAATATGCATTTGCTATTTGAAAATGTATTGAGGGTTATAGTGTTTTTTTTTATTAATTACATCCAATGTAAGGAAAATACTGTCACTGCAAGTCATTCTGCTGCTCTTTGTCAAAAAACTGGAGGGTTATCTAGAGACAGGGGGAGTAACTTAAGATGCATTCATGGTCTGATCCTGCAGTTGGTTTGTTTGTGTCTTATTGGCTGCTCCTTTCAGAGGTCACAATAACCAGTTATTATGATTCATTCAGACATGGAAATGTTTTTGGTGAGGGTTACCTTCCCAACTAAACTGAGATTTGAACACAGGGCCCCTGCATGACAGTAAAGATTTAAACAATTTCTACATGGGGACTTGTTTGGTCCAGTGATTGGTAAAAGGTAGAAAATGTACCATTTCTACAAGGCCAAACCAACTGCAGGTGTTACTAATTGTCTGGGGGGTAGTATGGCTGCAAAGAGAACAAAATAAAACAACAACAACAAAAAAAAGCACGAAGATGAAAGTCTGCCTCATGGAGTTTATTTTGGTACTTCAGCCTTTAAATCTCCAACTGTCCTTCTAATTGCTCTTATGTCAAATCCTCGCTTTCTGTTTTTGGTGCATTGGGACAAGCATGCATTCACACTAGACTATGACGGTGTTAAAATTTTTTCCAAAGGTTTGGTGTGGAATTTCAGAAATCTTTAGTAAGATGAATCTGCAAGTATTCTTTGTCTGCTGTAGTCCCGAGTGAACTTTATTAATCAGCATTTTTATGAGGGACTTAAATCCAACCCTGAAAAGACAAGCAAGGGACATGTGTAAGCAGGTCTAACTCAGGCTGCAGGATGGTTCAGCATTAGGAGAAAGAAGAAGACAGAGGGACAGATTATGCACTGGAGGACACATGTTTGCAAAGCAACACTACTCTACTGCACTTTAGACCAATTAAATAAAAGACTTTCTGTAATCACAAAAACATAAGATATAAATAAAAAGTTAAAAATAGATTTTGCCTTCTCAGATTAAAAGAGAAAAAACTACAAGATGTACAATAAAAGAAGAAGCAGCCTATTGACAGTGAATTTGACATGACTATGACAATAACAACATTTATGTAGAAAACAGTAATGGAGCAGGTAAAAACTTTGCAAATGAATGGGATAGAGTTTCCATTTTTTTAAGGGAGGGGGGCTTTTGGTTCTTAAATATTTAATTTCAGACAGGAGCCACACTAAATCCTCCTGAGGGCTTTGAAGGTTCCCTGGTGGCCTTTTTCTTTTGATAAAAAAAAAAAAATCTGCTACTGATCCATAAAAAAACAACACATACTTCTACACAAATCCCACTATTGTTCCATCTTTTAAACCACTAAATAAGGAGCCACTATCCCTAATCCTTGGCTCACTGTCGCTCATTTAAACCCATTCTCTTTTAATTTTTTTCTTTTGCATTTTCGAAAGTTTCTGTTTGATTTTCCGTCCATGCAGCATGCCAAATATGAAAACATTGCACAGAGAAGGTAGTGAAAATCATGCTCTGATACATACATTAAATCTGACTGAATCTGTGCATGGAGTTGCACAGACCTGCAGGCCTCTGTATTAATGTAATGCCTCTACAGTAACAGAGAAAACTTTCCTGTGGTATAGAGCAGAGTCACTTTGCTTCCTGAATTGTCTCATAATCATCCCTGAATGCTTGTAAATCTAGAACCTTCAAGGATGGACAAATCTTAAATGCTCCATTTTTAAACTCATTATCAAAAGATTCAGAAAGTGGAGGGTGTTCTTCTATTGAAAAAAATAAGCATTGAGATTATCCCTGAGGTTGCTAAAAAGGATTGTTGTTTTATTTTAGATGAAAGAGTTGGAAACATGACTGCTTAGCCACGACTGCTTCCTGTTTTTAAACAACAAAACACTCTGTGGTTGATGTCATCCTGGATTGTCTCTTCTTGGAGCTATGATGTGTGCATTGTTTAAGAAATGGGATTTATTTACAGCAAAATATCCCTGTCAAGATAATAAAAGGGAAGTTTAATGCGTCCAAATAGTTGCTAAATGACAAGCACATATCTTGTAATTTTCTGGGAATAAGGACGCGTCATCTTTGTCACCTTTACACTGAACCGTTGTATCCATCTGGCACGTTATGTCTGTGTTTTCTCTCTTATCGCTACCTTCAAGGCTGCAGCCGACCCAGCCTAACCCACATCTCATCCCAGGGCCACAGTGCGGGCCCTGCGGGCACTCCAAGCCTTCTTTAAATCATGCCCACCTCAAACACAGACAGTCATCCATATAAGTTGCACCTTGTTTGTGGTTAGACATTGGGAGTTATATTAGGTGTTTTGTGGTGCTCAGCTTTAAGCTTAATTTGTCCTCAGTGGGTGATACTTTCACAAGGAGAGAAACATGGATTCTGCAAACAATAGTGTTTATTTACAAACGAGAAATGAAAAATTACTGGAAAAAAAGTGAAGTTGTGCATCTACTCATTGGGAGATCACTGCCCGAAGTTGGTCACACCCTTGTCTATTTTTATGTTTGTCTGCAGGTTTGAGGCTGGCAGAGAGCACATGTTCCCCATGGAGTTCTTCTTCCCGCCTCAGAGAACGTGTCTGATTTGCTCCGATGAGGCATCTGGCTGTCATTACGGCGCGCTCACGTGTGGCAGCTGCAAAGTTTTCTTTAAAAGAGCTGCAGAAGGTAAAGTGTTAAAGTTCTTTCTTGGATTCAGAATTTGCCGAGGCACTAAAACACTCCACACGGTATTGACTTGCACACGGAAACCTGCTTGTGATTTATTTTTTTCTATGGTTGACATCGGGAGCTTTCTTCCATTTCTGCTGGAGCATGTTCAGGTTGTTCAGCTAACCCGTGGTTTCTCTGTGTAATCACACAGGTAAGCAGAAATACCTTTGTGCAAGCAAAAACGACTGCACCATCGACAAGCTAAGAAGGAAGAACTGCCCCTCTTGTCGACTGAAGAAGTGCTTCGAAGCAGGGATGACACTTGGAGGTAGGACAGGTTGATGACTAAATGAGATTCCATCTCTTTCCTGTTAAAGTTTTATCCATTATATGTGAAAAAAATTTAATCATAGAGCAAATATAATATGAACTTCTATTTTAGTGAGCCTTCATGTTAAAGGTCAATAAAGAGTGGTCTGTAACTATGAAAATAAAAAGATATAGAGTGCACTCATAACTTTTTTTTCCTATTTAATTAACATTAAAATCAGACCAAATGACTCCTGTTTTTGTTCATTTAAATTTGTCAAATCGTTTGAATTTACTAAATGCCAGAATAATTAAAGAGGCCTTTTTCTTAAGTTTTAAAAAGTCCATTCCTAAAAATCATGAGATTGTTTGTTAAAGTTTGTCCCATTCCTCCTGGATAAAAAGCTGCATAATTGAGTCAGGTTTGTTGGCACATGTTTTTCACACACTGCCTCTCTTTATCTGCTCCTTCATAAATTTGGTGTTTAGCTCAGGGTCCTGTTCTATTTGGAAGACCCGTTTGTTCCAAGGCTTTAACCATCCGTATAGGAACGGGAATGTTTTAATTTGAAGGGTTGTAATTCATAGCAGATCTCAATATTGAATATACACTTAATATACACTTACATGGCTTAAATTAATAGACAGAATCCTTTTTGAAATTAGATTTTTTTACCACCTTTCAAACCGGTTTATAAATATCAAACCTGAGAACTTAAGTATATGTTATGGTTTATTTTAAACATGGGTATAATTTCACAATAGATCTTTATTTCTTACAACCTCAAGAAAAAAAACATTCAAATATGTCTAGTTTTTGATGCTGTAGTTACCTAAAGAGTACTGCGAGCTCCCACTAATGGTTAGCTACCTTAGTTTTGCTATAGTATTATTTACTAGTTATTGGATAAATAAAAGAGAGCAGCTATCTTGACTTTTACATTAGCAGTGATATTGAAGTAACTTCATTACTTCACCTCAACATCTGTGAGAATACCTGTAAATGTACATTGTGTATAGATGCTACTTCTTAAAATATTGATCTTTTTCTGGCCCTTCTGAAATGAATGATTTTTTTTTACAAATTGTGCCAAACTATGAAAAACTTCAGAACTGTTTGACAGCAAACTGCTTGAAGCTAGAAGCTTTTTTTATACTTTTTGGCTATTATTGCACAAGTCAGCTCTTTTATAATGTATATAATTTTCATAAATTATAATTTTTTTGTTTCCCATTCATGATCAGTAACAATATGTAATGGTTTATTATGTCTTACTGTAGAAGCAAATTCTTTTAAACCAAGGGAACAGATTATTTGAGGGGAGCTGAATTTTATTGCTAGCGCATTTTTAAAATGTTTAATTGATCACAGCCTTAACTTCCACAGTCTGCATTCAGCAGATCGTAGCTCCTAGCTCCTCTCCCTTCTCCTTTCTTGGGGCCAAAGGTAAAAACTCTGTCATTGGTAGGAAAGGAGCTCCTTTCTGCTGTACCTAATTCAGACAATATTTAGCCTTCTGGACATTGTTAGGTAATAGATGGATGATTGTCAAACTGGGACTACAGCAACTACAGAAAGAACTACAGGTCCCAGTTAGGCTAGGAATTGGTAAGATTTTTACAATTACGATTCTCTTATCGATTCTGTGAAACAATGATCTTGGTAAGTTCACGGGGACATTCGTCTACCTTCTCCTGGGACTTTCTACTCCTGCCTGCCTTGGTGAAAACAGAAGGCAGTGAACGGAAGCTGCCAGCCTCTGAGCCAGCCAGGCTACCCGTCTCGTCACAGACATCTAAATCTAATGGAGAAGGCATCTGTTTAATGAAAAAGCATTACTGTACAATTTCAGGAAATAAACTCATCTCCCCCTGATTTAAATAAACGAGCGTCACCTTTCTCTCGCTCCCTGAACAGCAACTTCGTAGCATGTTTAATAACCACAAAGAGAGGTAGGAAACTGGTTTATTTCCAGAAATGACATATGATTTACTAGGAACCACATTAAGCACAGCCAGTGATATAAAACTAGCTTACCACCAGACTTGACGGCATTCATTAAAATGTATGCCATGTTGTGTGCGCAGGTGTTTCTGCATGTTGGATGTATTTCCTCCCCCGGATGTAATTGCCACTCTGCAATGATTGCAAAGAGCCTCGTTGCCATCTTTCTCTTCCTTAAAATGATGCCAAACTTTCGATTGCTTTACCCGATGGAACGCCATTTTTTAATGTTCTGCTTTTCTAGACTTAGGCCTGGTCACGTCGTACTTGCTTACTGAATGCGTAAGTCGTGCTGCCCAGCGCTAGGCTCTGGTGCTACCTGGAACCGTTAAGAGAATTGTTAAGCGAGTTGCCAAACGGTGCCATGGAATTAGAACACGCAGAACCGGTTCAGAACAGGATTCCCATCCCTAGTCCCAGTGCTAAATAAACTATCGATAGGAAGCGTCCTGCTTCGTTTTCCGACCTCCCTTCTTGCTGCCAGTACTATTCGGATAGCACTTAACATGGCGGCCGTTGACTGACATTGGCATTGAGAGTAATTACCGATGTGTATTCAGATGGAACCCCTATCTATGGTTGCATCTACACTTCCTGTGCTTTTTTCTTCATTGGTGTTCCTGAGTTACTTCTTTCAATCAGTAGATTCAATCTAAATAATTATTTTAGTCGTGAGACCTCCTTTGCATGAATTAGCCTCATGGAGAGGGTTACGCTAAGCAGACTTGTTATTTCTTTCATTAAAGTTAAATCATTGGTGTTCAGTTGCTTTTCTTGGGTAACTGGGACAGTGGACTCGAAACTTGGAATATAAATAAATTAAATGAAGAAATTCTGGGAGAATCCCGGTTGCAGTTAATTCTCTAGACTCAATCCCCAACCTTCCTGCTGGCTCATGTCTTGAAATATTGCTTCAAGTATTTCCACATAATTTCCTTTTCTAGTGACTTTCAGCAAAAAGTCCTTAGCCGCCTTAGCAACCCCCACCCCATCCTGGCAATATGTAGATGGTTGTTATGTACAGGCATTTCAATCTTAGTTTCATCATAACACTGATCATGCCTCCAAAGGCTATGGGTTGTATTCTTGATGATATTTTCAGACTGTAATCTGGCTTTTTGTGTTCCAAAAGGAGTCAACGCTTCCTCTTTTCATTCTATTTCAGCACAGGATTTATTTCACTGCGCTCTCACCAGCTTCAGTTAGCATCTCCACTAGTTATTTAGCTTTTGTTCTGGGGTTAATATACCCATTTCACACAAAAAACACTCATCCTTGGGAAATAAAACTTTTCTTGGTCTCCACAAGATGACAGCTGGGCATTCCTGGGGTTTTTTGTTTCAAAAGAAAGCATTTCAGTTGTCTTCAATCAACAAATGTGCTTCTAATTAAAAGTATTTATGTAAATTAGTAATCTTAATTCATCCAAACTTCTAAAGTTTAAACAAAAACAAAAAAGGAAAAACATTTACCTTGTTGTTTTTGCATTCAGTAAATAGAAATTATTGTCGTATTCAGTAAAGTAGCTTCTTCTCCTGCTTTTAGTATATAAGATGGTAACGCACACAAATAGAATGACACTACTCCATACCTAAGCATAGAAGGGACACCTCAGCAGGATTAAGTAACTTTAAAGCGATTATAAGTGGGAGCCATGCAGCTAGACATACAGCTTTAAAACGCTAAATAATGCATATGCCTATCTCTGTCATTGTGAACCCACCCTTCATGTTGAAAATCTACTGAGGTTTTACCAGCTTACCCGCTGTGACCATATTATAAATATAAATGTCTAAAAAGTACTATAAAGACCTTAACAGATGCTGCGCAGCAGTTCCTAAATGAACAAAGACCACTACAAAGAAAGTGAAGTCCTAAAAGTGAAACTATTAGTGGTTTTCCAAGACCAAGTACTTTATTCTCTGCACTGCACATCTCTGCTGGTTCTCTTCAATTGCAGCATCATCACAATAGGGGATGTTACTGATAATCAAGCCCCTGGCTGAGCTGCCATGCAATTTAGACCTCTTCCATTCACTTCTCCTTACTGTCACCCAGACCTGTTCGTCAAATTAGTCTGTAAAGATTGACATGTAGTGGACTAATTTTGGTCTTGTGTTCAATTTTCACTCTCTGCCATTTTCTCATTCAACTAACGGTGAAAATTGTGCTGGAGGCACAAAACTGACACGAGACATGTGAATTAAAGCTACAGACATGCTGGTAATTTCACCACCAGTCACTGACAAACCCTGTGGAGGGAAAATGTGATCTAATGCTGTGATTGTAGTAAAAAGGCGGCCCTTTTCCAGTTTTGGCTTGAAAGATCCTTTCACTTATGTTCTCATCATGGATGTATAATTGACTCCCAGCATTTTACCGGGAAATTTAAGGATATGAAATTGGGAAGTGACAGCTTTAAACGCTTTGTGTGAAAAAGATTTCTTATTTAATAACACGGAAGGTTAATAACTTAAAATAAGACCCCTGATCTTTTGTTGGTTTCGGTTCAATGAATTATACACTGGATAAAAATGTGATCCTATCATTGACAGCTCTGGTTTCTGTCTGAGGATGAGTAGAAAAATCTTTTATCATCATTGCCATCAGTTTTAGACCAAGGCAGCGATTTTAGTAGAGATGTCTGAACTATCATTTCAAAATTTTGTTTAGAGAATTTTTATCACTTCCACATCTGCTGAGCAATATAAAAAGTTTATGCAAGATGTGCATATCTGCTGTTTTTTTTTGTTTTTTGTTTTTACAGTGTCTATATTTTATA